TATGCACACGCATACACTCAGCAAATACACGGATAGGGAAAAAATTAAATGCAAATATCAAAAAAAAAGTATGAAAAAATCTCAATATCTCGCATGATGTTGTATCTTGACCTTGAAATGCTTTCCATTCGAAGCGACAATGAGTTAAACGTTCGAATGCTGGTTTGCTCATTCGAATGATTTTTATTTTTTTTCAATTCGCTTTTGTAATTTTTTAAAGCGTCGCGACGCTTGCAAACGCACGCACGCATGGATGCTTTGGACATCGGGCAAGTAAACAACGTTTAAACATAAGCTATTGTACCCAGCAAACAAAATTAAATGAAATGTTAAAAGCCTTGTGTCATTAAAAATTTTAAACCTGAAAGTAACTAAGATGCTGAGTTTTGATTACCAGTTTTTAAGAAATACTGAAATCGAAGTCAACGGAGACTGCCCGGCATGAAGTGGTATGCACAATTGAGAGATCGCTCTACTATGAAGGTAGCCTTAAATATTGTCAGTGCAGATTCCAGTGATGAGGCACTTATGGAAACAGGGATTCATCACTGCGTCCAGACTTGTAAAATGTATCTATGCAACCAAGAGAATGTTGGGCACTGGATGTACACGGCTACAGTCCAACCCAGCCGAGTTCTTGCAGGGCTTAACTGTATTTGCGGATGGGCCAAATATGGAAATTCAGAAGTGGTGCAGGGGTTTTCATTGAGCAATACAAACTAAAGTCATCACTCAACCTACCGGAAAGGAGGTAGCGCACGAACTAGCAAGGAGCGGCTCCGCACTGAATGTTTCCCACGCGGTGAAAATGGGCGCCTCGCTCAAGGAGATTAAGACAAAAATTACCAAAAATGTATCACTCGAACGTCAAACAGAAGTGGGACTACACAGGATCCTTCAGGATTACATGGCAGTTCTGGGTATCCTACGACCCACCTAAATCCAAAGCTCTCTAACGAATGAGTAAAACAGATGCCTACAAATTTACTGCAGTGTGTACAGGGCACTGGTCCGTTGGGGTGCATGCCGAAAGGATAGGACTGCCCTTCAATAGGTTCTTCCGCAAATGCGATAACCCTGGCTCAAAAGAGACAGTCGAGCACTTTCTGTGCGAGTGTCCAGCCCTCGAAAGGATGAGACTAAACCATTACTTCAGCTGCCTCTATGGTGACAATCCACTTAAACCAACGAACCAACCAACACTCCAAACATAAGAAAAGCTTAAGGTTGAAAAGCAGTAATCGCAAAAGTCGACAATCGACTCTCACACCCTTCCCGCTCATTACGTATCACCACCGAATACGTAGTCGCAATTCAGCTAGCTCGAAAGAACAACTGGTACGAAGACTAATTTCACGAATCGGCAGAGAAAAAAATGCCACATACAAAGCCACACTACGAGCTGAAAAGGTAATCGAGATGTATTTGCAGTAAAAAGTAGTGAGACGACGAAATACGGCTGACAGCAAACACGCATGAAAATTTTATCAAAAAGTTAGGCGACCTTCGGATGGTTCCAAGACCAAGCCAGGTTCTTGTAAGGATAAGCACGACTGATGTCGAGAGTATATGAAATTATGGCGACAACAATTTTCCATGGGGTTTTATAGTAACAGCACTGAAACCTGTGTAGAAGGTGAATCTCAGCACCTAAGGTTTCTTAATTTATTCCGTAGCACTTTGGGCGGAAGGTTGATGTTAAGCTTGCTTTGGAAATAACACGTTTCAGCTTTGCTTCAGTGGCTCTTTTTTGCAGAAGTTTAAAAATGACATTTATGTATTTCATGCTCTAATCGCTTGAAACCCTCCCTGTAAAGTCCGTTAAGGTAGGTGCCAAATTATAGTCAGTAAAATTGTCTTCTGAGACAAGAATTGTGGTTGAAGTCGTTCTACTTACAAAACGGCATGCATCAAAATCTAATTCTTTACCAAAGCGTGAAAACTTTAATCCACATTAAAAGAGTATTTGGGGAGAGATGAAGCGAAATCCTGGTTGTAATTTTTCGGCTAAGTATGGATGCTTACATTTGGGTGTAAAAGTTGGGTTTTCCTAGATCAAATTCAATTCATTTGTCGACAAATTAGTGAAAACAATTTATCAAATGGGACTAAAAATCGGTCTATCGATTATTCTAGATCAGAATAGGTCCTCAGTCATGTAGATACGTTGCATTACCGGCTATTTGGCCGTTTCTGCCCTAAATATAAAGGGGATAAATTTGTGTCAAAATATGTCGACAAATTTTGTCGCCAAAACCAGACTTAGTTGGTCACTCTTCTTTTCTATGATGGCGGTGAGTCCCCAAAGTTACGCTTAACAGGATTTACACTCCCTGTGACTGGCCATGCAGTATTGGAAAATAATTGACCACCAATCAAAAAGTCGTCAGCTTTTCGTAGTTTAACTGCCCTTTTATTGAATTTTTGGCTCTCAGCATTGCATATTGAAAGTCATAAATTCTCAACTTAAATGTTCACTGGGTGTAATGAGTAAACTGACGCAGGGATAAGCATGCGTGACTAACTCACCTGTGCGTTGTTAAGTAAGCGGAAAATACCAGCTGCTCAAATCTCGATCTACACTTGCAGTTTTGGTTTCAAGTTTAACTTTAAATTTTTTACAGGCTTCCTTGTTCTCGAGTTGCAACACAAAAACAACACTATTTTTTATGCACAATCACTTTTTTGCTACTTACGCGAAACAACAAATTATGAAGCCGGCTTCAAGAATTTTCGAAATGATACAAATCACGAAAGCAAACCGCAAATAAAAAGTTCTACCGTCGCGTCGTCGTTGACCTTTCGACTATACAAAAATCGTAAGCAATGAATCAGGAACTTGTTATGCACCACGAACGAAAGCAACTTGAATTGTTTATACTTATTTTGAAGTTTTTTTCTTCTTTTCGAAAATTTAGTTTTTTCTTCAGAGTTTGCCACTTATTGCACAAAATCACGCTGACTTGCGCTTAAATCTGCATACATACATATGCACGTACATTAGGATGCAACACACTCGTTACAAAAACAAAAACTCGGTACTGTATTAAGATTTACTTGAGGTGGACCTATTTGAAAATACCTCACAAACTTAGTTTTTTTTATAAATAACAAAAGTTTAAAAAATTTTGTTTTTCTCAAATATCACTTCAGATGATAGAAGCTATCTATGCTTAAAGGTTTGCATAAACATATTTAAAAAGTATATCAACGAAATCAAAACAGATAGAGGAATTTTTGGAGATATTTTAAAATCGGTCTGGCTCACGTCAGTCTTAATATTTTTCCGAAATATTTAGAGGGAAGTCTTAAAAAAATAAATTTTTATATTTCACTGGAAAACCCGACACTTTTTCTATTGGAGATGCGCCCTAATGTACATACATACATATATTTATATTTATGTAAATGCAAATGTCCTCATAGAAGTGCTAACTTGTAAGCGCGTCTGCGCTCTGGCACAAAGAATTGTAACAGAAACTAAACACGTCCGACTTGTTTTCAAACTGTTGCAATAAAAGCAGTGGCATCAACAAAGCAAACGCGCAGAAAGAAGCAAAAAATAAAATACGACAAATATTAAAAAAAAAAGAAAACATACACAAAACAAATCAAAATGGGTTGCTTAACACGGAAAATCCATCAAAATTAAGCATAGCCAATGAACGCCGAATGAATTACCGCAAAACAATTACCAGAATCGCCAGTTTCGTAAAATTCAATCGAAATCGAATTTCTGCACTTGATCACTTGTTCAACGAATTCTCAATTTTATTTCGTTACTTTTATTTCAGTAAACTTTAACTACGCCACTGTATCGAATTTATCGTGCCGACTTATTAGAAACGCGCAAGTTTCTGAACCGATGTTCAGATGAAGACTGAATGCTATCTACGCTGTTTGAGCCGAGAACAGCAAATCTACTTAACTTGGCTAGATCGCTAGCGGAGGCGCTTTGCGTACGGCTGCACTGTCTGCTCTACGTTAAAACAGCGTAGTCATTCGTTTTAGTTTATTTTCTTTATTTTTAGTTTGTTTGTTTTCTACTTTAATAAATACATACATGTATCAGATCCCCTTGCCCAAGTAAGACGCGATCTTGACTAGTAAGCTTGACCACATGTGCTGTGCTGGAAAAAAAAAACCCCGCTTAGCCACTGACTGCCAAGTAGCGTGCCGTAAATAAAAACTCAACTCACCTATTTACTACTTAAATATTTGTTTCCCTTTTGCGTTGAGCTTTTTTGTGCTTCTCTTATTAGCCAGCGGCGAGCATTTTAAGCCTAAACCGTATTTGCGCCGCAAGCTCAGAATCTGTCTTATGACAGCCAAATGCTAAACTTTACTTTCAATTAGCTTTAAGCTTGACTCAACTTGCGTGCAGCAGCTGTTCATGATCGCCGCTAGTTGCTTGTGCTTTTGCAAAACACTTTGTTAAGTTAAGCTTTACAGCCGTCGATCGAATGGTTGCAGCCTCTACTTCGGTTGACTCTGCAACACAGGGGGCACGAATTGATTTATAATTTATTATTAAAGCTAAGGCCGTTTTCACATTAGCTGACAAAATGAAACGGAAAGCCTGGTGTGCCGGTGTTGTGTCGTTAATGGCAATGCACAATGCCGCCTTAGTGGGCAAATATTTTTAAATTCCTTATATGCAATATGAACGTGTTTGATATTTTTGTAAAAGCATATATGTATTCACTAAAAATAATTAAGCCGATAATTCCTGTCGGTATAAAATTTCTATTGCATGAATCTCGGCCTGAAAGATGGTTGAGTTGCTAACCACTGGTATCGATTTTTAGAAATTCCAGCCACAGTTTTACTTACACAGTCAAGCTTACTCTCGTATCCAAAGGTTATATCAGCACTAATTGAGTCATGTACAGGCTCAGGTGACGCTTCTACCAACCAAATCATTCTCAGCAACAAGACTCTTAAAACTACCGTTACTATTGTAGTTACCCCCATTATCAGTATTTTTATCGTAACAAAAAAAAAAAATCAATAAATAAGTTATCTTTTCCCATAAACAAATAAAACTAAGGAAATAAGTAAACTATTTTTATACCCGAGCGCACTTGTGCACAAGGGTATTATACCTTTTCTTTTAAATAAAATTTATAAAAATTAAAAATCGCTTACTTTTTATGCACGCAGCGTTTCCCTTTCAGCAGGAATTTTTCGAAATTTAAAAAATAACTCAGGCTTCTGTATATTGAACCAATGTATATTGAATGCGAATCCGAGATCTTTTAGCCACCATAATGTCAGGTTCGAGGTCATTTTAAGGTCAAGTAGGGAAAAATTCATTGAATAAAGCGGGAAATGCATATACATAAGGTTTTCGACCTGTTTAATCCAAATCTGGGCTCCGCTAACCCCCATAATGTGAGGTTCGACGTCATATGAGTGTCAAATAGGAGAAAAAAATAATTATTCAATAAAAATAAAAATTCATATACATGGGTTTGGTTTGCCGCTGAGTCCGAATAAGGGGGCCCTTGATTCTTCAAGGTCATCTCAAGGTCAAATTCAGTAGAATTGTATTGAGTTTTCAGGTTTATTCATCGAATTTTTCCTTACTTGACCTGCAAATGACCTCGAACCGGTCATCATGTGATGGAGGCTAGCACACCTCGGATTTGCATTTATCGCGTCGAATAACATAGGGATACAAAATTTTGGTGCAATATGCAGAAACTTTGTTAATTTTTGTAAACATGTGTAATCATTATTTTTATTATTGATTTCTCTTCTGTAGATGATAGTTGGCTATGAATTCGTATATATACATATATATGTACAATCAGCGTCAAAAAAATGCATTACCTGACGTTTTGAAGATTTCATTTATTTATGCTTTCCATACCAATTTTTTCTTATTTTTTATATAAATATGGTCCTTCGGCAGCAAAAACCACAATCATACATTTTTTTAATTTCACACAGTACTGGAAAATGCAAGAAATACCAAGAAATTTGCAACGAAATTTAAAATTTTTCAATTAATTTTTTAGAAAAATTTTCGGTATGCAGTTTTGTAGAGCATTAAATTTTAGTACTCTAAAATACATATTTAAAGTCGCTTAAAATTACCGTTAATTTTGGAGGTTTTTTTTCCAAGGGTACTGCAAATTTTCTTCCATATAAAAATATATTTCATGTTCATGCGTTATATGGAATAAAAGGTGAAAGACTATTACAAGAAAAATTCTCTAAAATTGGCGGTAATTTTTAGAGATTTGGAACATGCACTTTATTGCACTAAAATTTAATGGGCTACAAAACTGCATACTGAAAATTTTTCTAAAAAAATTTAATAAAAAATAATATTTTGTAGGAGTACGCTAAATTAAAGAAAAAAGGTTCAAACTTAATCCCATGCACTTAAAGCATGACTTTCATCTATCTGACTGGCTCATGACTAGCGTATTTGTTAAAACGCTTGAAATATAATAAACTCTTTCCTACTACTTTAGAGCTTACACGCTCACATTCCTCTACATTCTACGAAACGCTTTCAATTATTTCCTCTGTATATCATCCAACAACAAAGTCAGTGCTTGTAATCCTTTGAGCTTATCGTTGAACGGGAAACCAATTGAGCAGCGCCACTTCAAAGTAATCCACAAATCAACCGTGACACAACAGCAATCTTTCGACGTGAAGAAAACTCAAGTCAAAAGCAGTAAATAAGTGGGTAGTTGGCAAGTTTGCGAAAATTAGGTTAACTCAATCACCTGCAGGCTAACATTTTCTTTATTAAAAATAAACAATAAAAATACAAAAAAAAAAGAAGTGAGTTATTGCAGTTTTCTGCTTTTTCAACGAAACGGATTTAGTTATATATGTATATATATATATATATATTTTTTTTTGTTTTGAAACAATCGCATTTTTCTAATAATAGAAAATTTCCAGTTGCACGCGCGCGCCAACAAACTGCAGTCGCATACGAAAAGCGCTGGTACTGCAAATAGTACCTACATACATACATACGTACGAGTACTGCAGCGCAGCTTAGAAGGAAGAATGAATGTTTGTAAATAAGTACGTGCAAGTGTGTATGCATGTATATACACATAAATGATCCCTATTGAAAGTGGGTCAATTTAAGAAGAAGAAGAATAAAAAACTCAGCGCATGTGAGAATTTATTTATTTCGCTTAAACAAAAAATTTGCAACTTTTCTAATAATGAATTTCACTTTTTACGTTGCATAAGTATAGATGCATGTTCGTGTTCGCACATATGTATGTCAGTGTGCGTGTGTGTGTGTGTGTATGTGAATGCATGCAGTTGTACAAGTATGTATGCGCTTGAATGCATCCGCGTACTTAACCCGTCAACCTCATTTGCTTTTCATGCTTCGAGATAAACTGTTGATGCCTTTATGAAATTCCCCTCTTCTATTTTTGTTTTCATTTTCAATAAGCATCTATTGTTTATATGCTGATATGTATGTACGTAAGTGTATATGAATGCTTCGCACAGCGATATATTTTAAACTAAAGTTCGAGGCTTCGCTCAGAATACGTTTTTCACTCAAATTTCTTGGTTTTAATGCAAAATAAAATGTAGCTTGTTTAATTTTTATTGAATTTTTTCATTAAAATTTGCTCCTACTTTGTAAATGCACAATATGCTTAAGACCTTCGATATCTAAGTAGCAGGGTTTAATGCAGGGGTTCTCAAACTTTGAAGATAATGCAACCCCAAACTACTTACTAAAAATCAAAGGCACTGCAATTTAAATATAAATAAAGCTTTTTAGAAGAAATTAATAGTATACATTTTTACTTTAAATTTTAACGTTAAGAATGAAACTGTTACACTTTTATTAAATATTGATTTCTAGTTCGATATTATGTCTGAAAGCTCTTNTATAAGTGTAAGCTGAAACCCCCGTTTCAAAACGAAACGTTGTGACAAAAAGAAGCATAGTTAAGATAGCCGTTTAAGCTACTCTGCTTCATGGTATTCACTCCCAAAACTTGTTCGGAGGCACAGGCTCAAATGTGTGTTTCAATGTCGAAGTACTCTGAAGATCTATGAATGCTTCATAAATGTATTTTGTATCTATTCGATATCACTACTATAATCCGAAAAATAATCCGACAAAGATCTCGGGAGATGTACCAACTACCCTGTTATGACATGTCACATTTCATTTGGCAATTCATCGCCTTTCTTGCTCTTTTTTCCACAGAGGTAAACCAAATGTAAACTCTTGCCCAAAATGCGGCTGTTGATTTTCCTGGAAAAAATTTTGTGATTTCACTGATCTTTCCAAAAGTGTATATTCGAATAATAGTAATACTATTTACACGCTAAGTGTTTGGCCGAGCTTTACCTCAAATTTTGATGTGCGTCTTGATGTTGTTACAGAAATAGAAGGACCTACAGCTTTAAGCCACAACTAAGCAAATGTGGAAAACCAAAATATTAAAAAAAGCATTTCTTATCAAACCAAGATTTTTTTAAACCATTCATATTTCGCCTGTAATGACCTGAAATAAATATTCAGAAACAGATGCCAATAGTTTATTCAATACTAATATTTGTTCGCCGATTCCGTGTGAGAACCTATACACGTGAGATTTTATGTGTTCACAAAATTACTAAAAATCAAAAAAGGGCTAAAAAAAAGTCAGAACCCTAGTATTTACAGTGTTTTTATTATTGTAGGAGAGGACGTCCAAATTCCATTCCACAAATAAATATAGTAGTAAAAAGGGCAAAACGTGGAACGTAATGTTTCAAAGAGTCACGGTGAAATGTGAATTGTGGATCATATCGCCAGTGTACATATTTTTGCGATATGAGGTGGAGTTGGCAGGTTTAGGACATTTTCAAAAAAAAAAATTCCCGGTTTTGAGTAACACAAATCTGGCAGCCCTAATAAAATTTTAATTTGATGATAAGGAGTGAAATTTGAATGTGTGCGAGTTGTTTTTTTTTTGGCCGGCAGATATTTGTGGACCTTGTATATACTTTGAATACCACTTTCTCTTCTTCAATGAAAAATTCGCTGTTTCCGCGCATAATTAACTCTTAAAACATTTTTATTATTTAAATGGTGTTGAATGCAACGCCACATACAACAAAGTATTTGTATCAAAGAGCTAGTCTGTAAATATTTATACTTTGTAAACTGACTTTATCAATTTGCCACACTTTTCACTTTTGCAAGAACGATCCATCAAATTGGCTCCACATAAATGCCATTCTGCATACAATGTGTACATATTTATGTATGTGCATTAGAGTGGTCCAAGAATGCATGTGAAAAAGTAAAGTCAGAATTTTAATACTCTCACCCCGTTGCATTGTTTTGTATCGACCAAAGTATGCCCCACTTTTTTTTATTTTGAAATCAAGAGATATTCAAAGCGCTAAAAGTTTTCCATGTATTTTATATGGATAAAAAACCACTTTTCATAGAAATGGTATAGAATTCTTAAAAATCAATATTTTTCGATCGGAAAACTGTGTTTCACTGCAGGAGATTCCCAATAATAATACCCAATTGCTTATTAAACTATTTTTCCATAGTAATTATAATTTACAGGTATTAAAATTCCGACTTTACTCTTTTTGGGCGACCCTAATGTACATACATACATATACTTGAAACAGTGTGAATGCTTGTAGTATGTCCTTTAAATGCAGCACAAGCATCTTCTTATCAACCCGTCAATGCTGCGAAACTATCATAGCGACGGCGGGCATACAATGACCAGCACAATATTTTTTTTTTTGTTCAGATGTGTGTCTATGTTTGTACATATATAAGTGGTGGGCAATAAAATAGAAACAATGAGAGAATAATATATGCAGTTCTAGCAAAAAATGTAACTTTATTAGCTGTTACCTATATAGATTTCAACCATCTCCATCTCCGGACCAGTAATATGGCAATTTTCTAGTCTAGAATCTGAGCCCTATCTTCAAATAAGAATAGCTACATCTTTAAAAATGCCCACAAATTACTTTCTTTCGTCAAATCAAAAAGGAGTCCAAAGTTCCCACAGTGGCCAATAATTGGAGTTTGCCAAAAACTATATTCAGCTATATCCTGACGAAAACACACGTAGGCGCTGTGATGCCGTTTTGCTTCTATTCTAAAAATAGAACCAACTAGTTTTAGCTTAGAGGTTCAGCGATATGTAGAGCATGAATGAAGCGACCTGCTCTGCACGTTCAATCAATGAACGCAAACCCACTGAGGAAAGTAAACAGGAGACTTTTGGTGACTAACAAAGGTTTGAAATGATGAAAGGTAGCTTGATGGATATTTTTATGCTTGAATCCAGTACTGCATACTACCATGTTTCGAGCCCCGGCAAAGTCGATCAGCCTTAGACCGTTATTCGGCCGTTTCGTCGTCGTGGAGGCTGAATTTTCTGGTGGCTCCGAAGATCCCTTCATTGCCCCACTCTGGCATTGAAGTCGCCAAGCTCGATTTTGATGTCATGGCGTGGGCAACGCTCGTGTGTGCGCTCCAAACGCTCATAGAAGAGATCCTTGGATTTCTCTTCCGTCGGGGTATGGGCACAGATGAGCGAGATATTGAGGAATTTAGCTCTGATGCGAGAGTTGTGGCTAGACGCTGATCCATTGAGGTGAACGCCAGTACTCGGCGATGGTGTCTCTTTACCACCTCCTACACCGAATTTGCGTTCCTTTACGTGGCAACTATAGCAGATGTCGCAAGGTCACCTCCGTAGAAACATCTACGATTTTTCATTGAAATTTGTCCAACGAGCGGACCGGTCTCTGCTGGACTTAAACCGATCAGTCGCAGCATCATTATTTCTCGTTTAATATAGCCGCTGAGTAGAGAGTGAAGGATCTTTCTCTCTCCATTTGCTCTGCCCATTTGAACTACTTATATCAGCTCTTTAAGCTTTAAAAACAATATGTTTCCATTTTATGGCCCGTAACGTGTATAATTTCACATATGTAGTTATATACATATCTTAGTGGTGGCATGCCACAAGCCAGCTGCAGTTTAGAGTGCTCGCCTGCATACCCTAAGCTTTTAGTGCTATTTCTCCATTGTGTGCAGCGCAAAGTGAATGAGTAAGTGCGCGGATTTAACGGTTCGTTTCGTTTAGAAAAATAAATCGGTGCCGTTTGAGTGAAACAATGTATCGAAATGGCCGAAGCTGTAGCGGTGATGCGGGCAACATTGCCATAGCTCTATTGTGGCTAACTGCACTCAACGTACTAACGACGCCAGCAGCAGCAGCAGCAATAACGACAAATACCAACGAAGAAGCAATAACAATAACAAACAAAACAACAATAGCAATAGCAACAAAAGTTGCAGCAGCATCAAATCCGCAAATCCCATATACAGCAAATCGAAAAATAAATCCAAATACCCAAACATGGCTAAAAGCGACACCGCCAGTGCCAGCAGCAGGCGCAACAGTTGCAATGCCAGTGCCCACGACCGCTACAGTGCCCACTACCGCGCCCGCGTCCACATCTACGAAATCAGTGGCAGCTTTAGGCACTGCTTCAGTTTCAGCTAAAGCTTCAGCCTTACTAGTATCCATGCCGCTGCCATTGAGTTTCACAAATGCTGCAAATTACTTCACTTTAGCTGGCAAATTTAATCCGGTTCGCAGGATGCGACATCGCCATCGTCGTCGCCGTCGCCGTCATCTGGCAGCAGCTGTGAATGCAGCTGTTGCTGTTACTACGCTTGACAGTAATCCTAATACCAGCAGCAGGACGGAAAGCACTTACAGCAGCAATAACAAAAATAGCGTACCCTTCACCACACCGTTAAATGTTAGTCAACACGCTGGCGAACTGTGCAATCGCCCCTGCGTAGCTGGCGACAGTCGCATTTGCTATTTCAAATTTGCGCTCGAACATTACCAGGTCATGGGAGTGTACGTAGGACGTACATATGAAGCAATAAACACTCATACCTAGCGTAGAAAAATAACCATTGCACATATACATAGTACACGCATACATACGCACAGTTAAACATTTCCGTTTAGAAAGGTCCTTAAAAACATAAAAATCCCTTTTTCTCGCAATGCCACAAATAGCCAGCCAGCCAGGCGGTCAGGCGGTCAGGCAGCCAGCAGTGTAGCACGCGGCGAGCGCGCAATAAAATATTGATTGTCGCAAAAATACCCTGACAGCCTCTGTGCTGGCTTGCTGACAGCAACATTGCAACCTGCAACCAACAACCAACAACCAATAACTTCCTGAGTCCCTCGTATCCTGTTTTGTGTGCGCGCGAATGTGGCCAGGCCAGCCGTCAGCCTTCAAAGCACTTTGGACATTCCCGCATAAGCATATTAACGTGTTTTTCTCGCATTTTAAAATGTTCCCGTTTTTCACTTTCCTACCATTCACATTTTTCCTGTTATGCTATTTTATTGGTCTTCCGCTAGCGTTTCCTCCTGCTGCTGCCGCAACGAATTGACCGCTGCTGTTGACTAACCCACCGTTCGACCGCTATGCATACCGACCGGGTGTTTCTAATTCGCCGCCTTCCGTCACACCAAGCTACGAGCTGACCGCCAACTACGGAATGCTTTGCTTACACAATACAGCTCTGGATTGCTTGTAGCACCGCGCGCTGACGAATTTTCGCACTGCCGCACACCGTTGCATTCCTGGCGCTGCACCGCGCTTCAGACCTTCTGAACCAGTGACATTTTTACTACACACTTAACCTTCCGAGCTGTCTCTTGCTACTGGTTGTCTTATTTTCTTCACATCTTTCTGGATCTCTCCCAAACCAGCTGCGCGCCCTACATTTTCTGCTTTCATCTGGAATCACTGCTTTTTCACCAACTGCATCTTCTTCTCCTTCTCATTTTCTCATCTATTTCTCTGACTTTCATTATTCCCTACACTTATTATTCACAATTTATGGTCTCCACAAAACAATCTGACTCCGTTCCTGCCTCACTTCGTTTCTGAATTTATCTTCTCTTCCCTCCCCACAGCGCTTGTGGCCGCTGTTCGCTTGGCATTGCCGCTGACTGCTTCAACCCGCAATGCATCTTGGCGGATGGCTATGAAAAGGGTGTTATGAGCATTAACCGCCAGCTACCTGGCCCCGCCATTCTGGTGTGTCGTGACGATTTGATTGTTGTCGATGTGGCCAACCAAGCGCTTGGTACTGCTGCTGCCATCCATTGGCATGGCCAGCATATGGTTGCAACCCCTTGGTCGGATGGTGTACCTTTTGTTACTCAATGCCCCATACATTTTGCCAACACGTTCCGTTATTACTTTTGGGCCACTGAAGTCGGTACGCATTTCTACCATTCACATTCAGGTGAGTACTTATTTTTGTCGTAAATATCAAATGACTGTATACTATGTGCGTATGTAGAAGGTACACAGCTATAAATATATTTACACTTTTATTGAGTGCTCTAAATCGAAGCGGAAATGTAAAATGAACAGAGGGTTACAAAAGGTAGCTAGAGGATGTGTGAATAAGAAACCATGAAACAGTTTTTTACTTCTTGCCTAATAAATAGGATTAGTTTGGTAAGGTTAGGAAGATGTGTATGAATATCATAATTCCACTCGGAGCAAGTTTGCTGAGTGTATATTAGAGATGGGCGCGGGCCTAATATTTCGGGCCCGGAACAACCCGACATGACCGAACCCGATTAGGCAAGATATATATGGAACTTCCACCAAAAACATTTCGTCGATGTTTTTGCAAAACCGCATATCTTACGGTACTCAAATTTACAGCAGAGCGAAAAAACGGTTTTACTTTGAAGGCATTGGTATGATAGGCGCTATTTTCTCTAGATATTTTTTTACAGATCTGTTTTTTTTTAACAATTTATGATTTGTATGCCTAAATATCGATGTCTGGAGTTCAGGGTTACAAAATGTATCAAAAAAATAAATCAAATTCCACTTCCTGGGGATTCGAACCCCGGATATCTCGAATTTCACGCCAGTGTTTTGCTCACTCAGCCAATGAAAGTTGGTAAAAGAGCTTTTTTTAAGAATTTCGTGCCATAATAAACACGTGTAACTAAGTATCTTAGCCAGAATTGCCCCGTAAATCGAATAAAGTGTATAGAAGGTTTATAGTTGAATCTTAAGCACTGTTTCAAGAAAAGGTCTTAGGTAAAAAATAAATAAGCTTGTTATGATTTATGCACTATTTATGTGAATGTTATCAATACTTCCTTAGGTCACCACAAGGTCAACGGTCAATATGGCGCGCTAATCATACGTGACGATCCAATTATGATGCTCAACGCCAACACTTACGATTTTGATCTACCCGAATACTATATACTCATCTCCGATTGGATGCACACCTATGGCGAACAATATTT